GTCAGCCGAGCGTTCCTTCAGATACCGCTGCGTGACGACTTACATTCCACTTTCTCGCTGGCGCTCAATGATCTCCATGCTCCCTGCTCCTTAGCTTTCAAAGCCTGCTGCTCGGAGCTCAGCTGCGATACGAAGGCCACCGCCGGGAGAGGGACGGCTCTGTTGTCAGTGTATGAAGGGAGGGTGAAAGCCGGGACTGCCACACTCGCTAGAAATAAAAAAAAATAAAAAATAAAAAAGAAGAGGACGGGTATAAATAAAACTCCAGAGAATTACAAGAGCGAGTCACCGTGCATCTAAACCCAAGAAAAAGAAGAATAGATGTAACATATGACGGCTTACCAGTCCTTGGATGTGGCGGCTGCATTAGTTTCCCTTTTTTTTAGGCTCCCCCCCCCCTTCTTATATTCATCTGGTGATCCCGCCAGTATCACTTCCCATCCTAGGGCGACAACACTCCCTGTACTGCATCTATGGAGGAGCAGCACTGCTACCCTGGAACAGGAAAGGTAAGGACTACACAACACCTCCCATCCCACCTCTCCATTACATAAGGAGGAGGCTGCACACTGATGTCAGCATTTCCATAAAACTTTATTGTTGTGGATGTGCGCCCCGGAAGCCATCCCTCTGATGTGCTTCACCCTAAAGGCCGTGACACACTGCACGCGGAGCGGTGGCGCGCTGCCTTTGCGAGCAGTGTGTCATGTCGCTTTCTTCTCGGCACCTCAGTTTGCGAGAGCTCAGCGTGCCGAGATAAACAATTTCAACTTCAGCCAATCGGCTCGCGCGTATAAACCGGACGCGACGGGATGCGACGTCTGGCCGGTTGTTACAGACGAGCCGATAACAAGTTTCCCAGCAGCCTTGTATGAGGAGCGTGGACAAGCGGTCCTTCCTGCACCCGCTCTCACTGAACACTGAGCGGAGGAGATCTTTGCCGGCTCTCGAGAAGTTTGTAGGAGAATAAAATGGACAACATTGTACTTGCAGAAAATAACAGGAAGCAGCCGCCACCTCTACGGACCGTTGGAAGTTTAAATTTAGGAATTCCTTCTTGGGTTTAGAAACACTTTAGAGAGAACGCGACACAAAGAAAACAGAAGTACAACAAATAGGAACGGCAATACATGTATTAAAAGGCGCATACACACGCGTGTGGTCTGGGAAGTAAATCCACCTCTCAGCTCAGGGTCCCCACACTGCAGGGAATGACATTGCGGATCTTTCCCGTCCAGAATTGGTACCAGAGAGGCACGTGGAATACCGATAACCAGTGATGCCGTATTGCAAGATGGCCGAACAATTTCTAAGGCACCTGTCGGGGACCCCGGAATCTGAATCCAGGAAGTGACATGAGGACCACCAAAGCGCTAACGAGTCCAAGGAGACTTTATTCTAGAAATAGAAAATCGGGGGGAAAAATCCAATGCATTGGAGGGAGAGCAGTCCATCGGGGCGCGTACTGTACGTTGTACATATATCCTTGCAGCGGACACGGTGCGCGTGTGTATCCTTGCAGCGGACACGGTGCGCGTGTGTATCCTTGCAGCGGACACGGTGCGTGCGTGTGTATCCTTGCAGCGGACACGGTGCGCGTGTGTATCCTTGTACCGGACACGAAACACAGTGTGTGTGTATCCTAGTAGCGAACACAGTGTGTGTGTATATCCTAGTAGCGGACATGGTGTGTGTGTATCCTAGTAGCGGACACGGTGTGTGTGTATCCTAGTAGCGAACACGGTGTGTGTGTATCCTAGTAGCGGACACGGTGTGTGTGTATCCTAGTAGCGGACACGGTGTGTATATCCTTGGACGGACTCAAATAGCACAATATAAATGAAGTTGGCGCGAGTAGCAGAGCATACAAAATGGATCCGGCAGCCACAACTTTTGCCTTTTTTTTTCCTTCTCTTTCAATTTAGTGAATTAGTCTCCGGGGACTCCATTGTGGTTTTGGGGCTCCTCATGCCATGTCTCTCTTTCGGTATTCTCTGTGGCACCGTCCACAATAGTGCCAGTCACAGTACCCAATATCATCATTTTTGGTTACAGCAGCAACGTGCATTGTATGTTGACCACACAAGTGTGTACAATCTCTGGACGAGGAGCAAGGGCACAGATGATTCATGTGCCAGCTTTCTGTCGTTACAAGTTGAAGATGCTAAAATCTCACGGCTTTAAGCTGATAAAAAAAAATCATACTTAGCCAGGATACAGAGGTCACAGGTTAAAGAGGACCGGTTATATACAAGGGTTCAAGTCTATTAAAACACCACCATGCCTCAGTACTCCTCTCAAGACTCCTCCGCCCCGATGCAAGCAGTGGCCTGGCTTTTGGGAGGAGTTAAGCAAATATCAAAACATCTTGATGAGTTGGTGCCAGGTGTGGTGAAGTTGGCATTCCTGGACAGGTTGCATTTGCAGACAGGAGGCCCTAGGTAACACCCACGTGTGATGCTGAGCCTCCATTATTGAAAGAGCTGATAGCCAATGAAAAGGGGTGGGGCCAGGGACAGTCAGACTGAGGAGGAAGGGCCTAGATCAGGGGGTAGCAACCTTGACGCTTCCATCTGGGGTGAAACTTCAAGTCCCATGAGGCATTGCAAGACTGACAGGCACAACTCCCAGAAGCAAAGGGATGATGGGAGTTGCAGTATCGCCACAGCCGGAGTGCCGGCCCACCCGTGGCCTAGATGATGCCGGATGTCCTCCTGCCAGGAAATGAGGTGCAGGGGGGGGGGGGGGGGTGGGCACACACAAAAACGAAAAGAGGGGGGGGGGGGGGGGGGGGTGGCTGGCACTACACAGATCCTCTCACCATGTCCAGAGTGGGTAAGGGGACAGGATCTCTAAGAATTACAATTTCCCCAACACGGGGAGTCTTATCCGCATTAGCACCTCGGGGATATAAAAAGTCCTCTTTAAGCTTTTATATCGGATTCTCCAATTTATAAATAGTCAGGAAACCAAAAAATATATAGAAGAATTGAGCCGAAAAATGATTAAAGCTCATTTAAAGGTGGACACGCACGGCAATCTTTAGCTTCCTTTATGAGACACATGGATCTCAATATATCTATAACCTAATAAAACATTAGGTGTCGGAGGTCCAATAAGGAAATGTAATACAACTGCCGTGTTTGTGCACCTCCACCGCTCCCGGTAAATTGCCCGGACCATTGATGTGCCACAGATACCCCGGCACACTTACCTACAGCACCGCCCCCCCCTGCATTTTCTGCAGAGTCTCCCTTACAATGCCACGTACACGGTCATGGCAACCGGCGTTCGGAACAAGACGCCACACATAGCTGAAGGTGAATAGAACGTGCAGGCTTCAATACATCATTAGAACACAGGCATGTCAAAGAGAACCGGTCACACACATACATGGAGCACAGTGTTTAAAGCTGAACTCCAGGCGAAGTAATCTAGATACAAGAGGCCTGTATAGCCTCGCTCGAAAAACCGCTCCACCACTTTGACTGTGCAGGAGTTTCCCGTAATAAAGGCCGCTCACTGCTGCTCTCTCTCCTTGTGCAGGACTGGTCTTGTCTCCGCCCCTTCCTGTAATAAAGACCGCTCACTGCTGCTCTCTCTCCTTGTGCAGGGTGACTGGTCTTGTCTCCGCCCCCTCCTATAATAAAGACCGGTCACTGCTGCTCTCTCTTTGTGCAGGGTGACTGGTCTTGTCTCCGCCCCCTCCTATAATAAAGACCG